ACAGCCCCGGGCCGCTGCGCGGGACCCCAGTCACAGTGTGGGGGCATCCTGGGGGCAACGGCCTGGGTGCTACGAGGGAGGTCGGGGCCAGCGGCAAGGGCGTGGGGCTGGCCGGGCTGCAGGAAGGATGCTAAGTTACATGATCCGCTGCCCAGGAGCTGTGGTCACTCCACGGCCCATCCAGCACCCGCTGGGATTGCTGAGGAGGTGGCACTCAAGGCCAGAGCCCGGGAATCGTGGGGAGATCCCTGGTCTCTAGGGCGGCTGTGCGCGGGAGCTGGGGCTGGCAAGTCCCGAGGGGGGCGGTCCCGGCCTCAGGAGTGGGCCCCTGGCCAGCCCACCTGCAGAGGCTCAGCTCCACTAGCGGCCTCCTCTCTCAGCCGCCCAGAGCAGGCCGGCCGGCACCCGGCCTCACGGGAGGTGAAGTGAGGACGGCTGGTCAAGGCGAGCTTTGTTCCCACTGGGATGGAATCGCGGCCGGAGGCTGGGCTGGCAGGGCCGAGGCCCACAGTCTGGCGCTGGGCGGGGACCAGGCCGCCGGCTCCAGTCGTGCTGGAGAGGTGGGCAGTGTGGGGCAGTGGCCTCTCCCTCCTGCCCCTCCGGCCCACGAAGCCCTCGCCTCCCCGCAACGGGGGTGTCGGCAGAACTATCCCCCCTAACCACGGCCGACGGAGTCGGCACTAGGCCAGAGAACGTCCTGCAGAGAGACGGGACAGGCCAGCTCCGTCAGTGGGGCAGCCCACCCCCTGCATGAAATGCTGGGGGGCTGTGGGGAGGGCTCGAGACTCACCAAGGAGACCCCATCAGAGAAGGGAAAATTCCATATGACTCTGGACTCGGTGCTCGAGGCGCATCAGTCCCAGGCGGGCCCCCCAGGCCACTCCCCAATGGCACCCCTTGGGCCCCCCCCATCTGCTCCTCAGAGGCCTCCTGCCACAGGAAAAGCCCATGGAGGGTCCAGGCCGAGAGGGCGAGTCCCGGGGTCCCTTGCGCTCGAGGAGGCTGTGCAGGCCCCGCGGGAGCACTCGTGAGCCCATGCTGGGAACAGGCAGATGAGGTGTTTGTGTGGCCGGGGCCCAGCTCCTGGAAAGCGTCAGCCACGGGGCTGGCGGGAAAGGGCAGGGCCGGGCGGTGCCGTCCCCAGGGCCGCGGGCTGCGGGCCGAGCCCGATCGTGCCCACATCCTCCCTTGCTGTTTCCAAGCAGCGCCAGGGTTTGCCATCTCATGAGGCCATGGCAGGGGGACACGAGTGAAGATCGGGCCTTCCTGGGGTCGGCCAGAGCCTCCTGGAGGAGCCGAGGGCAGCCCACATGAAAACAGTCCCCCCGGGCGCTGGCCAGACTGACCAGCAGGTGCGCCCTGTGCCCAGTATGGGGTCTGGGGAAACCATGCCAGGTGCTGCTCACTAGTGCCCATCTCAGGCCCGCAGCCAGGGATGCCCCTGAGGTCGGCCCGTGCCCATGTCCAGCTGCAATGAATGGCCCCAAGACTTGGGTCCTGGGTCTGCAGAGGCCAGGGTCAGTGACCTGGCCCGCGCTCCCTGTCACCTGTGCCCTCCCCCCAGGGAAGCCCTTCCAGGTGGGCAGCAGAGGGCGGGGTGGGAGCGGGGTCCTTCCCGGGCTCCCTGCGTGTTCTCTCCAGCAGGCACAGGGCCCTGTGGTATCGCAGCTCCCGGAACGGGGGGACATGTTTGTTTTCCACTGGAGGCCACACCCAGGCCGCCACGCCGGACAGAGCATGTTATAAACACTCCCGCCCGGCGGCCCAGCGGCGCCCAAGCTTGCCCCGATCCTGGCCCCCGGGTCCCCCCGTCTCGAGCTGGGTGGAGACTCAAGCATAGATCAGGCCTGTCCTGGCTCTCGGCAGGTGCGGTCACAGCGGAAAGTAGGGGGCTCCAGGCCCAGCGTGCAGCACTTGTTCCACACCAAGCTGAAGGCGAGGAGCCCCTCGGGCCCCTGAGCCCTGCCCCCGGATGCGCGCTCCCTGACGGTCAGCTTCCTGGGGCCCAGAGCAGATGCCCCGTCCTGGGGAGCAGACCCCCTTCTCAGTTGGGGACACGTGGCAAAGACTGGGGGCGTATCTGATGATGTCATGGGCTGCACTTGATGGTCATATGTGGGGGTGAGGGTCACATGTGGAGGCAATGGTCATGTGTGGGGATGATGATCACCTGTGAGGGTGATGGTCACGTGTGGGGTGATGGTCACGTGTGGGGTAATGGTCACATGTGGGGTGATGGTCATGTGTGGGGCTGATGGTCACGTGTGGGGTGATAGTCATGTGTGGGATAATGGTCATGTGTGGGGGTGATAGTCACATGTAGGGGTGAGGGCTTTGGTGTCAATGGCGGAGCCCAGGGGTGCTGAAGAATGACTCAGGTGCAGGCTGAGACCCTCAGCACCCCAGAATACCTCTCGCCCCTTGGAGTGAATCCCATGTGACCATGAATGCAGAAAAGTGTTCAGAGAAGGGAAAACTCTGCTTCTTTCAAGCAGCAAAGATGCGGCGTTATGGGACAGAAGGGCTGATTATCACGGCGCCAAAGCGCAGAAACAGATGGACCCAGAGCATTTGATGAGACTGTGGGGCAGCTGGTGACCAGACCACTGCAGGGCACTCAGCTGGACGAGGGGGGTGAGACCTTGCATGGCGGCCCTGTTGGCTGGGGCGTGGACGTGGGGGAGCCCAAAGGCCAAGTGGACCTCGGCAGTGCCCGCGAGACGCGGAGCCAAATTCCAAAGCACGGCGAGAGGTTGGGGCTGGGGGAAGGCTGAGGGAGGGGGCGGGGGGATGGGTTGGAGCTGGGGTCTTGGGTCTGAAAGATAGTGAGGGACTTTGGGGGGGGGTCTGTGCGTTCTGGATCCCCCCCGCACCCCCAGCATTGAAACACCATCGAGGCTAGGACACGGCCCGTGTGGTTCAGCACATGCTCTGCAGGCTGAGTCAGTGTGGCAGTGCCCCCCTGCACCACTGAGAATGGGCCCCCCAAAAGGGGCCTCACATCAGCCTGTGGGGGCTCGTGGTGAGCGCGCGGGAGCAAGCAGAGCTGTGGGCGACGGGGCAGGCAGCCTTCTTGACTCTGAGGCTCATGTTGGGGTGGGGTGTGCTGGGGCTCCCCCTCCCACGTTGGCCCTGCAGGGACTGGAGGAGGTGGCAGGAATGTCTTGGACTCAGGTGAGCCCTCTCACACCAGGACCGGAGCACAGTGGCCTGTGGGGTCGGGCCCAGCAGGGAGGGCGCTGGAGAGGGGGTGTGGGCGGCATTGCCCACTTCACAGGGTCACTGGCCGAGGAGAAGCTTCTGGCACTCAGTTCCCCAGGGCTGGCAGGGGCAGCTCAGGCCTCAGACCCAGGCCCCCACTCTGCCCACCACGCCTCCTAGACCCCCATGAGTGGCTGTGGGCAGAGACAGGGCAGCGGCCCTTGGAACCCATCACAGCCGCATCCTGTATCTTGGCTAGGGCGGACCAGGCACCAGAGCCTACCCCAGATACAGCCCCCAGACACAGCCGACGCCCCAGACCCCAGGATCCAAGTCCGGGGCGAAAGGGCAGAGGCCCTGCATAGCTCAATGGGAAGCTCCAGGGCTCACCTCTTTCTAGAAGGAATGTCCATCCTGGCAGACTGCTGGGTGCCTGAGTGGGCGGTGACCAGCTCCAGCACCCCGACTTCCTGCGGCTCAGGGTGCTCACTGGCACCCCTGGTGGCCAGAGTGGGACTTGCAGCCACTTTCCTCCCATGTGCCTCTAGGGCTGGGGGATGCCAGACGGAAACTCTGGGGGGGCTTGGCCCACCGTGCTCAGGAGTCTGGCCCCAGGCGGGCCGACGGGGTCTCCTGGAAGTGTGAACCTGAGCATGGGGTGTGAGCCAAGAGTGACCGTGAGCGCGTGCGTGCGTGTCGAGAGCATGCGTGTGGACCGCAAGGGCAGGGCCAGGCAGGGGCAAGAGGGGAGAGTAGGAGAGCGTATCCTGCAGGGCACACCTGCTATGCGAGAGCCCATGTGCCCGAGAGGCCAGAGGGTGTGAGTGTACGTGGGAGTATGCAGAAGGAACATGGGTGTGCGGATCAGTGTGAGGATGAGGATGAGTGTGGATGGGTGTGAGGGTGTGCAGAGGTGTGTGACTGCAAGTGTGTGTGCAGGGGTATGTGGGTGTGCGCGTACATGGGTGTGTGTACGAGGGTGAGTGCATGGGTGTGTGAGTGTGTGTGCATTGGTGTGTGTGGATGGGTGTGTAAGTATGTGAGTGTGTATATGAGTGTGTGAATGGGCACAAAGTGTGTCTGCATGGATGTGAGAGTGTGTGCATGGGTGTGTGCATGAGTGAGAGTGTGTGCATGGATGAGTGAGTGTCTGTGCATGGATGTGAAAGTGTGTGCATGGGTGAATGTGTGTGCATGTGTGAGAGTGCATGGATGTGAGTGTGCATGGGTGTGTGCATGAGTGAGTGAGAGTGTGCATGGATGAGTGAGTGTGTGCATGAGTGTGTGCATGAGTGAATGTGTGTGTGAGTGAGAATGTGTGAATGGGTGTGTGCATGAGTGAGAGGGTTTGCATGGATGTGTGTGCGTGGGTGAGTGTGTGTGCATGAGTGAGAGGGTTTGCATGGATGTGTGTGCATGGGTGAGTGTGTGTGCATGAGTAAGAATGTGTGCATGGGTGAGTTTGTGTGCATGGGTGAATCAGTGTGTGGATGGGTGAGTATGTGTGGATGGGTGTATGAGTGTGAGTTTGTGTGGGCGTGTGAGGTATGTGGGCCGTGTGTACGTATATACCACAAGGGAACATGCAAACACATGTGGAGTGGCGGTGAGCACACAGGAGTCCTGGGTGTGTGCACATATGTGGGAGCATGTATGCATGTATATGAGAGCATGTTGGCGTGTGTGCACATATGTGGGAGAGTGGCAACATGCTGCTGAGTGGCCTGTGGGTGGGGTGGGTTGTGCGGTGCTCCCCACCCGGGCAGGCCCTCCTCACTGTCCTTCTGTGGCTCCCGCAGGGCCTGGAGGGATGATGGGGCCCCGAGCTCTGGCACTCACCCTGGCCAGCTGCCTTCTGGCCCTCACCTGCGACACGGTGCTGGCCCCTGTGCCACATGAGCACCCAGAACCCCTGGAGCAGGAGACGACCACGGGGCCACCGCTGGAGCACACTGAGCGGTAAAGGGCTGCAGCCCCGGGGCAGCTTGGACCTGGGCCCAGGCGATGTGGCCAGAGGGGTGTGGCCCCCAGGGCTAGAGACGCTTTTGTGGAAACCCCCTGGCGCCCACCCAGCCCCAGGGACCGCAGGTCTGCCTGAGGGGGGCAACCACGGCTGCAGGGAGCCTCCCGCAGCCGCCAGCCTGGCTGTGCCCAAGAGGGGCCCAGGCCTCCCACCCTCCCTAAGTGGCGCGGCGGGGAAGGATCCCCGACGTCTGCTTGGAGAGCCTGGCGTTTCGAAAGAGCGGGGGTGCCCTCCGAATGTCGTGTCCTCATCGGGGCGCGCTCAGTGACACACGGACTCGAGGCTGCTCCCTCCGAGGTGTTTGCAGGAGCACAAGCAGCGAGCCGGCCAAAGGCCGGCGCACACGCGGCCGGTGCAATGCGGCGTTGTGCCAGGAGGTGGCGGCATGGAGCCGCCGGGCCGCAGCCCCGCGCCAGCCTCTGGGGCCTGGGGGCTGACCCCTTCACACCCACCCGCACGGTGGCAGTTTCGCTGCCTGGCCACGCGTCCTGCTGACTCTTCCTTTAGAGTCCCAGAACTCCCCCAGATCCAGGCTGGGTTCCCGCTGACGGGCAGCGGAGGGGGTTCCCGACTCACGGGATGTCTGTGTTCCCCAAGTGTGGAAGAAAAACATGAAAAATACAGCCCCGGCCAGGACGAGGAGACCCCCGCCTCCCGCTGCTTCCGCTGCTGCGACCCCAGCCCCGCGCTGTACGCGGCCGCACCCCAGATCAACATCACAATCCTAAAAGGTGAGGCTGCAGAGGGCCGGGGGCTGCTCTGACCCCGAGGACAAGACGGACCCTCGGTGGGGGCAGAGGGCGGGAGTGAGGGGCGCCCGGGCTCAGAGCAGAGGGAGGGGCGAGCAATCTGCAGCCCGCGACCGCCCGCGGAGCCGAGAACCCGGCCACAGCACCCCCCGCTTCTGGACCACCCCCGCCCACGCGCCCAGACCTCCCGGGAGGCCAGAGGAGGCCCAGAGAGCAGCTCTGGACGCAGGGGGCCGGGCCGGCGAGTGGGGTGCGCTCGCGCCACGCCCCGCGTGTTCTGTCCCCCCAGGTGAAAAGGGGGACCGCGGGGACCGCGGCCTGCAGGGGAAGTACGGCAAGACCGGCTCGGCGGGTGCCCGCGGCCACGCGGGCCCCAAGGGGCAGAAGGGGGCGGTGGGGGCCCCCGGGGACCGGTGCAAGAACCAGTACGCGGCCTTCTCGGTGGGCCGCAAGAAGCCCCTGCACAGCACCGAGTACTACCAGCCGCTCATCTTCGACACGGAGTTCGTCAACCTCTACGGCCACTTCAGCATGTTCACGGGCCGCTTCTACTGCGCCGTGCCCGGCGTCTACTTCTTCAGCCTCAACGTGCACACGTGGAACCAGAAGGAGACGTACCTGCACATCATGAAGAACGAGGCGGAGGCCGTGATCCTCTACGCGCAGGTGAGCGACCGCAGCATCATGCAGAGCCAGAGCGTCATGCTGGAGCTGCGCGAGCTGGACGAGGTGTGGGTGCGGCTGTACCGCGGCGAGCGCGACAACGCCGTCTTCAGCGACGAGTTCGACACCTACGTCACCTTCAGCGGCTACCTGGTCAAGCCGGCCGCCGAGCCCTAGCCCCGGCCAGGGAGCTCTAGCCCCGCCCCAGCCCCGCCCCCGCCAGGGAGCTCTAGACCAGCCCCGGGACCGGCCCCGCCCCTGGAGCGCTAGCCCCGCCCCGGCCCCGCCCCTCCCCGCCCCCGAGAGCTCTAGTCCCGCCCCAGCCCCACACCCCCGCCCCCGCGAGCTCTAGCCCCGCCCCTCCCCGCCCCATGCGCCGGCCCCGGCCCCCTGCGAGCCCTAGCCCCGCCCCGTCTGTGGCCACGCCCCCTGCAAAGCTCACTCCCTTGAGCCCTAGCCCCGCCCCAAACCCGACCTGACCCTCCTCTCCCCGGCCCCGCCCCTCACCCCCCCACCTCCCCCTCCCCCGCCCCCCGGCTTTGGGACACCCCTGGTGGGCTCATGCCCAGGCTTTGGGGTCTCCGTGGAGGACGCCTGGGGGTTGACGGGGCAGAGACCTGGCCGGAGACCCTCCCGGCTCCGACCCCCCAGGAGGCCAGTGCCCTGGGCTCCCGCGGGGATCAGCGGGCTGTGGTGGCCAGGGGCACGTCCACACCCCAGACACGGCTGTGGCCCGGCCTGAAGGACCAGCCGGGGCGGGCGGGGGCAGGAAGGGCGGCCTGGGGGTCAGAGCAGCTATGGGCAGACACTCCCCAGAGCAGCAAAACGGGTCCCTCCCGGCACTGCCCGCCCCCTGCCCCACGCCCCGCCAGGCCCCAGGAGCCCCCCCCCCCTCCCCGCAGGGCCCCCTCACATCCTCTGTCCCCTCGCAGCCCGTCTCTGCACTCAGCCTCCTGAGCCGGGGCTGCTGGTAGACTTGGTGCTGGGGCCCGTCCCTCCAGGAAGGAGCAGGGTGACTGCTGGCCCCTCACCCTGACCCCTCACCTCACAGGAGCCTCCTTCCTGCCATGAGTAGTGGCCTGTGCTCTGCACTCCCACGGGTTGGCTGTGGCCAGCATGCCCGTCCCTGCTGCTGTGGGCTTTGCCCGGCCAGCGGCCTGTCCTGCTTTGCGCTGCTGCCGGGCTCTCTCTGAAGCATTAAATGTGGAACTTGTCTCAGCGCCCCGACTCGCCTCCTGCTCACTAAGTGCCCCGTGCCCACCCAACCCCAGGGCATCGGTGGGGGTTGTGGGTGTACCCCATGGGGCATGAGGGAGTGAGCCCCCGGGTAGGGGAGCAACACACTCTCATTCCAGGCCTGGAGGTCTGGGGCTGCTGTGCCCGCGTCGGCTGCAGGGACCTTCCCGGTGCCCTGGGCTGGAGGCCGCAGCCTCTCCTCGCCGACGTGGATCCTGCCTGCCCCAGCACCCCCCTCCCACTCTTTAAGAATGGCCTCTGGGTTCAGGGTATGCCACACCCACAGGGGCTCCTCTAGGGATGCTCAGTGCTGGACACTGCCCCCTGTGCCACCGAAGCTCCGTGCCCGCTCCGGGCCTGGAGCTCCCTCACACCAGCTTGGGCCTCAGATAGTCCTGGGCCAGGACCTCACCAGGGCCAGTGGCCTCCACAGATGATCCCCCAAGAACTCAGGGCACTTGGACATGGTTGAAAGATGAAATTCTGCACCACCAGGAAGGCCACAGGCAGTGAGGGCCACGCGGGGAGGGGTCGGGTCTGCAGGCCACACGTGTGGCATGGGACACGGCTCTCGCATGAGCGAACCATGATGTGGAGGCGGACATTCCTCGCGTGTGTGGGGCCCCGCCCCCCCCCCCCCCCCAAACATACAGGGACAACAGAAAAAAAACTTGGTTTAAAATGGGCAAGAGGTGGGGCTGGAGCAACGGCACAGCGGGGAGGGCATTTGCCTTGCACGCAGCCAACATGGCCGACCCGGGTTCAATTCCCAGCATCCCATATGGTCCCCCGAGCACCGCCAGGAGTGATTCCTGAGTGCAGAGCCAGGAGGAACCCCTGAGCATCGCCGGGTAAAAGGTAAGGTAAAGGTAAAGGCCCTCCCGTTGATCGTCGATTTGCTCGAGCGGGCCCAGTAACGTCTCCATTGGAGACTTTGTTGTTACTGTGTCTGGCATATCGAATACTCTCGGTAGCTTGCCGGGCTCTCCGAGAGGGGTGGAGGAATCGAACTCGGGTCGGCCATGTTGGCCGCTTGTAAGGCTTGTAAGGCTTGTAAGGCTTGTAAGGCTTGTAAAGCATCGCCGGGTATGACCCAAAAAGCAAAAAAATGGGCAAGAGGGGACTGGAGTGATAGCACAGCGGGTAGGGCGTTTGCCTTGCACGCAGCCAACATGGCCGACCCGGGTTCAATTCCCAGCATCCCATATGGTCCCCCGAGCACCGCCAGGAGTGATTCCTGAGTGCAGAGCCAGGAGGAACCCCTGAGCATCGCCGGGTATGACCCAAAAAGCAAAAAAATGGGCAAGAGGGGACTGGAGTGATAGCACAGCGGGTAGGGCATTTGCCTTGCACGCAGCCAACATGACCGACACAGGTTCGATTCCCAGCACCCCATATGGTCCCCTGAGCACTGCCAGGAGCAATTCCTGAGTGCATGAGCCAGGAGTAACTCCTGAGCATCACCGGGTGTGACCCAAAAAGCAAAAATAATAATAAATAATAATATGGGCAAGAGGCCAGAGCGACAGCACAGCGGGGAGGGTGTTTGCCCGCACACAGCCAACCTGGGTTCAATCCTGGAAGTCTGTAGGGTCCCCTAGCACTGCCAGGAATGATTTCTGAGTCCTGAGCCAGGAGTCACCCCTGGGCATCGCTGGGTGTGACCCAAAGAGCAAAAATAAAAATAAAGTAAAATGGACAAGAGAAGCACCCAGAGGTGCCAGAGCACAGTCTCTGCATGCAGGAGGCCCCGGCCCATCCTGGCACCACATAGCTCTGAAGGCCGTGGCTGGCCATTGAGCACTGAGCTGGGAGTACCCCCCAAGCACCATTGGGTATAGCCCCCAGACAAAAATAAGTGAAAATAAATAGGCCAGGATCTTATAAGCATTCTCCAAAGACGGTCCAGAAATGGCCAGTCAGGGGCTGGAGTGATAGCACAGCGGGTAGGGCGTTTGCCTTGCACGCGGCCAACCCGGGTTCAAATCCCAGCATCCCATATGGTCCCCTGAGCACCGCCAGGAATAATTCCTGAGTGCAGAGCCAGGAGTAACCCCTGTGAATCGCCGGGTGTGACCCAAAAGACACAAAACAAAACAAAACAGAAACGACCAGTCAGTATGTGAGAACGTGGGACGCGCAGCCCCTCCGGAAAATGGTCTGCCATGTTCCCCAAGCGTCCAGTGGCGCCGCCCAGGCAGCCCAACCATTCCGTATTCGGGCGTCTCTGCCCCCAGGAGCGGAGATGTGGCCTGAGCCTTACCCGCGTTGGCCTGTGCGGCCTGAGTGGACACGTGGCCAGCTGGACAGCAGCTCTCGTGCCCGGAGGAGGGGAGGTGGTCACGAGCAGCTAGCCTGCAGCTCCTCCACGAGATTCCCCATCCCAGCTCCTGGGGGCCCTGGACACAACCTGGCTCGGCCAGGCTGAGGCTGCTCTTTGGGTCAGAAGGGGGCGCCCTAGGGAGGGGTAAAGTGGCCCCGAACATGCTTCATTTTCTTAGGTCTGGATTTAGGGGCCACACCGGGCCATAATCAGAGCTTGGCTCTGTGCCCAGGGATCACTCCTGACAGGGACCATTTGGGGTGCCGGGGATCAAATCTGGCGTGGCTTGGTTGGCAAGCTCCCTACCCGCTGGACTCTCGCTTCAGCCCTGAATTGCAAATTTATTTTAATTTCATTCATGGTTTTGGTTTTTGAGCACTGCCACCATGCCTGTCAGAGCCCAGGGTTTACTCCTGACTCTGTGCTCAGGGATCACTCCTGGCGGGGGTCAGGGATTATTTGGGGTGCCGGGATCAAAGCTGGGTTGTCTGTGTGTGGGGCCAGCGGCTTCCTGCTGTATTATCTCTCTGGCCCCCCCAACTGCACACTTTAATTTTTTTTCTAGCCACACCCAGCCATGCGCAGGGCTTGCTCCTGGCTCTGTGCCCAGGGGTCACACCCGGCAGTGCTCCTGGGACGAAACCAGGGTCAGCTGACTCCAAGGCCAACGCCTCAAGCCCTGTGCTGTCTCTGACCCTGAATCGCACACTGTAAAAGCCATCTCCCCAAGCAGATATAAAAAGCAACCCTCCCACCCAATAAAAATAAATTATAAAAGCAAAGTGCCCCCACAGCCTGTGCCTCGCCCTTCCCCGGGAATAGTGCCCTCCCCCAAGGCGACCCTCCCAGCCGCCCCGCCTGGCTTCAGGGCTGGGGGCCAGGATGCAGGGTCCCATGGGGTTGGATGGGCTGCATGTGCTGAGCTCACTGACTGGGAGGCTGACTCGGAGCATTCCAGAAGGCCCGGCTCTGGGCCTGGCTCCCTCTGCGCCCGCACAGCTGCAGGAAGCGCTGGAAAGTGGCTGCGACCTCAAATGCCCGGGCGGGCGGGCGGCAGCCGGCCAAGGGGGACAGCGCTGGCCAAGCTGGGCGTTACAGAGTCAGGAGTTCCCGCCAGCTGATCTGTGGGTCTACCCACGCCCACGCCGGGAGGGGAGGGTCCAGGGTCCGGTGGCTGCTAAAACGGCACCAGGGGCTGGGGGCACCACCTAGCCCGGGCAATGCCAGCAGTGTCTTTGCCTCCACCAGGAAGACCAACAGGCTTGCCGTCCTGGTGGGAGACAGGCTGGAGCGGGCAGGAGAAGCAGAGGGCGAGGCGGGCGGGAGGGGCGGGGGCTACAGCGGGTGCCATGGGCGGGAGCAGACAAAGGGGGGGTCTCAAGGCAGAGAGGGGGTGACACTGCTTTCAGAGGAAGGGGAGTCAATCTATAACAGGACCCCCCCCTTCCCCGCACACAGCTGGAAGGCAGGACAGGGTTTAATCAGGGGCTGGAAAAATAACGAGTCCTGATCCCAAAGCCTGCTCCAGCGTGGACCCAACAGAGACCTGCCTCTCTCTGTCTCTCTCCTCTGTCTCTGTCTCTGTCTCTTTACGTCTGTCTCCATCTCTCTCTCTGCCCCTCTCTGTCTCTCTCCATCTCTGTCTCTGTCTCTCTCCATCTCTGTCTCTCCCTCCCTATCCCTCCCTCTCTCTCCTTCCCTCTCCC